AAACCTTTCCGGTTTATTTCAAGGTATTATTTATTTTGTCTTTTATGAGTGGAGGAATGATTTGGTTTGTAGAAAGTGGCTTCTTTTTCCCCCGGTGGTATGATGTGCTTTATCATGTGTAATGGGATTAAACTCAAGTGGGTGATACCAAGAGAGCAGAGTGTTTAAGAGGCTTATAAAACAGTGGGGTTAACATTTCTGTGAAATACGCTGAGGCCTTTTTTTGCAGCAGTTGACGCTCTGCCTAGATTGTCTTGCAAGCTTGTTAGGCAAAATAATTTTACTAGTTGTGTGATGCCAGCAGCTGCTTGTTCCATTTTCCTCTAGCGAAGTGGCAGAGCAGAGTACTCTTGTGCAGGCTAACTTCAGGAGGCCATCTGTAACCAGTAAAGACGTATTTGCAGTTTTCAAATGATCAGTCTCTGGGAATGGAAACAGTAGATCACCTTAGCACAGATTGCACCTGAGTAAGTTACTCCTGTTAATTAACTTATTTGTTGTTTTTTTTTTTTTTACCAACATAGTTGTCACGCTTCTTTATTCCGAGCTAAATTGCACAGGGCCATACGAACATCCCAGCTTATTTGAGGTTAGCTTGGGGATCCCGAAAAAGGTGGTGTACGATAATCTGTGGAGGTAGCATTAAGCTTCAGTTCTTTCACTTTGACCAAAAAAATGTTAGAAGCAAGAGAAACGTCATAATGACTTGTAATTTTAATAATAATATCAAAATATTATTTGGATACTGTGAATGGGGTGTTATTTGAGAGTGCCAGTTCTGAGCCAGAGTGTCAGTTGGAGACAAATCAGGCTGAACTTCTGGTGCTGCACCAGCAAGTAGAAAAGGCCATCAAGGCTAGCGTGGCAGCAGAGCTTTCAATGTGCAGCTGGCCTTTTCCCACAGTAAAGAAGGATCTTTCTGCCTCTTGGGCGGGTGAATTCACTCTTCTGTATCCCTAGCTCTTGCTTGCGCTGTCTGTTCGTTGTAGGTGTGTTGCAGCCTGAGGGAGACCTTGCTGCCTCGTAAGTGACATTCATGGACTTTTCTCCCTGAGCCGTTAAGCGGCAGGTGAATTAAGGTCGTGTTCTGGTAATGCCACCCAAAACTAAGGGCCCGTGTACTGCTCCGGCTTGTGCCTGCCGTTAGGTAAAGGATTGCTTTTTCTTTTCCCACACCTCAGCGGTTGCAGGTGTGTCGAGGTGACAGCAGGTCTGAAAGAGCTTGAGATTCTTCTTGTTCCTATGAGCAATAAGAAATTAAATTTAGAAATGGAGTACAACGAAACCTTAAATCGGATTGACTTCTGACTCCCTATGTCACTTTCAGTGTGTGCCTGTTTACTTCCAAGTTCTGAATGCAGCATCTATAAATGTGATAGCAAACAAAGTCTCCTCGTGGATACTGGAGAAAGCTGAAGCTCAGACACTTTTCATCCTACCATGGTACTGGAAATGAAATTCATCTGACGATAGGTAATTTCTAAGTCTATGAACGTATATGGGGAAAACCCAAATACATGTCTTTTATTCACTATCCAGCATGAAGACAATTTTGTATTTTAAATGCTAAAGAAATAAACTTGTAAAGATCTTGTATGCCCTAAGTATATATTTTTGTCCTATGTTTTCTTTTATAATGAAGTTCAAGCAAAATATTTCTTATATTTCAGAAGGGAAGTTTAGGTTAGCCAGTGCTGTACTTTCCAGACTACAAAAGCAGTTTTTAAGTAAACATCTAAAAATGAAATTGTATTTTTAAATATGTGGATTAGAATTCCTTAAGTTAAAACATCTCTCCTTAGCAACTGTATATACTTAGACAAAAAGCGAACCCATTGCAGCTGCTTGTCTATATGGTCGTTTGTGTTTTGGTGATTTGTTTATATTGCTTTCTCAAATTGCTCTAAAGGTATTAAGAGCTCCGTGTTAATGTTAGAAATAGAAATCAGAAGTAAATTTCTTTAGAAGTGGTAGATTTTGTTTCTTGGAGGAGGACCAAGACTAAGCATCTGCTAACCTTGTATTACGTGTTATACAACTTCAATGTTGCGGCATTGTGCTGAAAGTATTTGGCATCTGTTCAATGGGACCACTTTCTAAACCTTTTTGTAATTCTCAGCATCTCTCCAGGTGTGCAAGACGTTTCTAATTTGATTGCAGGTATTAGTTCATCTTTTTGGAAGAATAAAATTGAGTTATCAACAAGCTGAGAAATAACGCAGAAAAAAAACTGTTTTGTCTCTTGAATTATTGTTAAACTTGCATTGAGGATATCATTTATATATTTTGGAAAAAATATTGCTATGTTTTTGAACACACTTGAGAATTTAAATGCAAAAGCCAAAAAAGTTAACCTTTTAAATGATCAAATTTTGGAATTTTCTCTTACCGCTACTGAATCCAAGTTAGGCACTGCCATGAAGAGGATGCTTCTAGTTGAAAACCTGTGCTGACAGAGCAGGGAGCTGTTTTGTAGGAACTCGCTGGCAAGGTAGTACGTGCTTGTTCCATCAGTGGTACAACTTCTGTTGACTTCAAGGCTGCTCAAGCAGACCGGGTGTGTTTAAAGACGCATATTGGCTGCAAGCTTTTTATTATAATAGCCCTTGGACATGCAGTGTAAATCTAACAATATATAGTGCTACTGGGTAATAATAATCTGAATGCCTATCTTCTGCTGTAAATTTCCCTCCTATGGCTCCTATGGTATGTGTACATAGACTATGACCTTTGCACTGAACTGACTGTACTTCGTAACCGAAAAGCAAAACCAAGTAGTGTACTAAAGAGGACTGTAGCTTGTGGTTCCAATTGTGGAAGTACGTTTGCAGAACGGAAAGTATAGCTTCAGTGCTACAAATTTGATTTTTATATTTTTTATTAACATGCATGGAAGACTAAGGATAATATTTTTTAAAAATGAACTTGTTTTTGTACATTTTTCAATGTTTAAAACTATATGATTTAACATTACCTCTGAATACCAGTGATCAGTCAATTCTTAAAGGAAATACCTCAATTTGAGCATTCTTTTCTTGTTAGTTGTCTGATAGGTTGAAATGGACTATAGCGTGTGATGAACTGAGCCAAATGATGTGGACACTTAAACTATGCCGTATAAGTCGTATGATGATTTACTAAAAGGGAACTAAAGATACACTACAAGTGTTGATGTGCAGTATACAATCATGGCTCATTCTGCCCAACTGGACATTTTCCTTATGAATGGCTTGTAAATTGAATTTTCAGCGTGAAGCCAAATTAAAAATGAAACAAAAAATGTTTGGTTTCCTCTGGATTTTCTTTTTTTTTTTAGATTTAAGGGGTTTTTTATAAACAACAAGGTTTACAATAAGGGAAAAGATACAAACCATAACTGTGAATAAGACTGAGTCCCTGCATGTTTAGGCACGCTTTGTTGATGTATGTTCTCTGTGGCGGTGTATGTTTGTTTACCTGACAACCGGGAGTATGAAATTACAGGGTTTTAAGGGGTTTTTGTTTGGGCTTGGGGTGTTTGGGTTTTCTTGTGGGGGTGTGTGGTTTTTGATTTGGTTATTGGTTTTTTGTTTTGTTTCCCCTAAGGATAACAGGGATATTATTCCAGTTTTCTGGAATAATACACCTATTTTCTGTGCTCAAAGAAGAATATCAAAATATCAAAGAAGATACAGAAAAGGGGCTCCGGAAGTCTGGAGAACAAGCCTGTCTAAATTAGACTGAAGTAGGTCTGGCTACTTTTACTTATCCAGGAAACACGACAAGAAGTGATCCAACACTCCAGATACCTACATACATGAGAAATTCATAACGGAGGGTGGAAAAAGGCGTAATGAGGTCCAGTGCATATAAGCTGAACCATTAATATGAACATTTTTAAGAATACGACTGAAACACTGGGGAAGTTTACCGGGGAAGTGACATACATTCATCATGATACGAAGATTTCAAGGGAAGACTTGTTAATGCTTTTCTTAATGTTGGTCTCTAATTTCAAGTTACAGGGCGGATGCAGATTTTGAGTATGTTCTTTGGCCCAAGTCAGGTTAGTCGTGCAGTGGTTTGTGTGAAAGAATAGACATCTGTAGGTAATAGCAAATGCATATAATTTCACTCTATGTAAGAAAAAAGACTGAATACTGTATTTGTCCAAAATTTAATTTAAATTTAAATTTTAATCTAATTAGTAGAACTTCACTGAAAGAATAACTAGTCATGCAGCAATGTGGCATGCTTTCTTACGAAGAAAAGCTTTAAAACCTGAACTTTTTTTGCTTAAATATATTTTTCCTTTTTCTTCTGCTCTAAAATGCAAATACCTTATTTGCTCTATACTTACGAAAGTAGATTACACTAGGGAATGTTCCAACTAATGCCAGAGGATGCTATCAGAATGCGGTACGCTTTCACAAACGTTTATTTATTACAAAATGGAAGTGATTGACACAGTTAATGAAATATTACAGATGTGTAAATGCACAAAATGCATGCAAGATTTCTTTCTTCCAAGGGTGAAGATTCCCCTACCTGGTACCATCTGGTTTTAACCCTGTTTCTCCCTGCTGCTTGCCAGGGTAGCGTGAGGCCTGCCAGAGGTGACAGGCTATAGCCCTGGCTTTGTTTCTGTGCGGCGGCAGAGCCCTCCTCTGCTGCTCCTGCCACTGTCCTCGCTGCTCTCGTTTCGGCGTCTTTTCAGGTGACGTGATCTGCTGAGGTAGCAGCATGAGCTGCGACTCCTCACATCGTGCCCTCTTCTCCTTCCCCACCCTCATTCCCACCTTTCTCCTGTTACTCTCCACCACTTTCTTCTCTTAAAGAAGATATCCATCTTCACCTTCCCCCGTGGTGTTTCCAAGCTCCACACATCCTGCCATGCGCTTACGGTAACACCCCAGACTGCCCCAGCCCTTCACCTGCCCGCTTCCTCGCTCGTCTGTGTTGCAGGGAAGCTCCCTGTTGTGCCGCCCTGCTGAGCTGCCGGGGCAGTCATCTCTTACCGCATGCTTGTGCCTTTTCTGCCCCCACATATCTTCTGCCTGAAGCTCTCGGCTGACATGGACTTGGAGGTATGTAGCCGCGTCACCACTTTCTCCTGGTTGACGCCACATGAGGGGATACGTGAGGACCACAGGAAATGCTCCTTTTTTACTCCCAGCGCAGGGCCTGGAAGAGCCTTCCCGGCTCCCTTGAGGGGCAACATTTGGTAGCTCAGGCCTGCGAGAGCGGAGCGCGACTGACTGCTTGGCGGGAGGACTGCTTCCCTCAGTCGCTGATGGACGGACGCCGGTCCCTTCCCTTCCTCTGGGTACTGCCACCGTCCATAAGGGTTTGCTCCTGTTGCTCCCTTCCTTTCCCTCACTTTTTTTTTTATCATACTACACTACCTTTCAGTCTGTGGGTCAAAGGTAATTTCTCGTTAGACTGCTGAAGGATTTTTTGTTGTTGTTATTACTATTACCCCTTTGTATTAAGCGCCAAGCTGTCTCCGCTGTTCTCCTCTGGGAGCTGGCTCCCGGGGGCGGACGGGGTGGGGGCACAGCGCCGCACGGGAGGCTCCTCTCCCCCTTCCTACCCCGTTACCACACCTCGGCTGCCGAGCCTCACGTCGTGCCCCCCCCCCGC